ATATCAAAGCAATTGGACTTGCGGTTTTCAACAAGAAGTCGAAAATATCACTTTTTACCAAAAATGACAAAAATATTCACCAAAATTAGAGAATTAAAGATATTAACATAAAATGAACAAACCTAAGAGAGGTCTACCCAAGGTACATATACACCAAGTATCAAAGCATTCAGGCTTGTAGTTTTCAAGAAGAAGTCGAAAAAGTAAAACACTGACACGGACGCCAGACAATCACTCATATGATAAGCTCCGCTCGACAAAGTCGACAGCGGAGCTAAAAATATATCAAATACTACCAGTACCACCATTATACATCATCATGTAATCAATAAGCACATCATTTAAGTTCTGTATGGTCAGTAACTAATCAGACTGTCTGTTAACATAGAGCCACCAGTGTTCACTTCTGCACCTGATCAAATGACTTTGAAACTTGAGTTCAAGTCTTGTAGGATCAGCAACTGATGAACACCTTGTGTTGCATGTTGCTTTCCAGTACGACACACAAAATTATTTAATTTCGCACTAATTCACTATGGAAATTTTAGTCTGCTTTAGTCTGATATTTCTCTTTTTATAATATTTCGAGGGCCTCTGTATCTCTCACTATTTCTATACTTCTATACTCACCGTTGCATGCATCTGATGACCATAGCGTGTCATTGTTTACAAATAAGCGTCCACCCATGAGCCTTTGCGTTTTAAGCATGCATTGTTATCGTGGGTTGGGACTCAATTCCCACATGTGCACAGGTGACAATCCCTCTGCTTTAACTATGTGTAAGTGTGTTTTGTGTCAACTATTCTTTTGAAACTAGAATGCCCTTTTCAATTGTATTTTTGTAAAATAAATAAATTAATTAAACAGAAAGTACTTAAAAAAAATAAAAACATATTTTGAGTATTAATTCTAAAATGCTAATAGAACACATGGTCGCAAACTAAGACAAAGTTGCACACTGTCCAGTGTCCTTTTTTGGTTATGCTTTGTTGAATCGTTAATAAACTTTGTTGAAGCAGCATAAATCGTTGACTGCATGTACTCTAAAACTTATGTTAGTGATCACCTCTAATAAAAACCTCCTGTATACAGTCACCACTTCAAGACATTTCCAAGGCATAAGATATAAGCAAACTTGTTTGTAAAGTCCCTTGGGTGGTCACTATCACAGGTTTGACTGTACTAACAATAGATTGATAGATGGACACCGCACTGGTTTCCATGATCCAAAAAGGTATATCACTATCTGATGAAGTGCAGGACACAATTTTAAGCTACTGTAACCCATGCGATTTAGAATGATAATTCTGCAGCTCACAGTATATTTTGATGTTTGCATAACGTTTGACAAATAGCAGGGTTCTCCCCAGGGCTTTTTAGCGCGGCACTATACTTGTGAATCTCGGTGCTTCACTTGGGACCTCGGAGCTATGTGTTCCCACCTCGGCGCTTGATTTCATATTTGACATGCCAATATCAGAAGTGCAAAAGCTTTGTTCGCCACACCGGTCGGCCCCGATCGTCACTCAAAATTAGTGACCACCACGGAAACGCTATTGTCTGATTGTTATTATAATTACGTACCAACCGACACGCATCCTGCCAGTCGTGGATTATAATTTGTAAACAATAGACCTAGTTGCATGATACGTAGCGGCTAGTCAAATTTGTGAAATTAGCACCTCTTTGTTTGTAAGTAAATACTTTCTGCGATAGACACAGGCTTTAGATTGAAAGCTAAAATTCTTTCAAAATCAATTCCACCTCGATATAACATGCTCAAAGCGGAGTTCACGATCAGTTCACGCTACTCAGGAAAAAAACAACATGTTTATTGCGTGATTTGGTAAAATACATTTGAACTGTTATCATCGCGAATCATGTAAAAACTCTTCTTTCAAGACCTATTTTACCTTTTAGAAATTGAAAATCACCTCTTTCGAAAGTCATCATGCAGTTTTCAATTGAAATCGATGCCAACACATCATGCTACGACATCGCTTTACTTCCGCAATGTAATTTTTATGATAACTACCATTTGGAAAAATTCGGATTCTACCGGCATTACCATGCGGCATTTTGATTGGTTATTGGCATTCATCGGGTCAAAGGACACATGCTAATGTTTAACAAACATCATGGCGGGTCTGTTTTTTTTACCGAAGCGATTGAGTGATCAAAAATAATCGCTCCCGATAAAAATAAGTCGAATTTTACTTACATTTCATATCAAAAAAAAAAAAAGAAGTAACATTTTTTGAGGAATTATTGCTATAACTGGTGTATAACATGGCCAAGTAAGTTATGTCACGTCGTAACTTTGATGATCGTTTTGAAGCTTCATTTGTTCGCTCATTACTGTAATTGTAAACGTTTTAAAAGTTGATGGTACGAATAATAAATTACAACAATACGCCAATTAATTACGTGATCGATTTTTTGAAGGAGAATGTTTTAGGAGTGAATAAAATTATGAGATTCGTGAACATAAATCTGGCTTAACGTTTTGAATGCGTTTCATTCAACGTTTTTACAATACAATTAAATTGCAGCATAATTTATTTGTGTTTGTTTTTTTGTCTGCAGCATTTGTATTTCGAGAATGTTTCAAGCTCTTCTAAATTGTGAAACATAATGTGTTGATTCTATTAAAAAAAATATTTGCACTGTGACTGAGCTCACTAATATTCATAATTGTAAACAAGTTCTGTTAACAATGAAGGAAAGATATGTAAATGATATGCAAATTATTATGCAAATTAGCCGCGACGCTATGCATTTTTTCTGGGGAGAACCCTGAATAGTAATTCTAATGATCACAGGAAGTTTTAACACTTGTCATTTTACAATTACAAAGGACTTGTATTACAAAGGACTTGTATTAAAAACAGTAGCCACAAGTAGCAGTTATACATTTGTTGTATACATATGTAAGTTGTAAATCTCTCACAGGTATCGATTTATATGAAGGGACTACTTCTTTAAAGTGGGACAAAGTATTTTCACTGGAGCAGAGACAATACCTAGCAAAAATTAATACTTAATTTTGCCGGCTAATTTCAGCCAAATATATGCATTACAAATAGAATACCTGGCTGCTGGAGCTGGCAGCTGTTTTACTTGCGAGTACAGCACATCTGGTGGTGAGTTTAGTCTCCGTGCATCTCTACTAAAGTAGTAGTTACTGGCAACTGCATGGGATGGACCATCTGGTAAATTAGCTGGTGGGATAGTCCTGCAAAAAGTGATCATACAAGTCAGGAAATTGACTCAAGTTACAGGTGTGCTTAGAATAAGTTGACAAGTCCAATCAGGAGAGGAGGAGGAGCTGCCTGAACGTCATTTAGTCACTATGTGAAATGAGATGGTGTACACAGGAGACCGTTGAAACAGATCAGGGTTGACCATTTCAATTGGAGTGGGTGGCAATTTTCACATATACATCTATCCGGAATGTTTAAACAATCTGAGTAGAGCATTTCAGATTGTTCCCTCTATTACAAAGAAGAATCCTTATTTGTTTTATAGAGTGACTAAGCTCAATAGTAAGGTGTCATGCTGTCCATACATGTACAATACTAGATAAAGATTAGGATGTATAAGATAAAGCTTGGCAACTTTCATAACCATAACAGTTTTAGACGATAAAAACCATATTCTTAGATGTCAATTGAATGTAATTCTAACCAATTACAGTGGACGTGTAAAAAGTAGATTGAAACAATCTGATATATAAACTCAAAATTTTGTTTTGTCTTGTGATTATCTTATTATTTCATTGCTTAATCTTTATCTTTAATAGTAATTACCTTGGTGCTTGATCCCTTGCGTATCTCAGAGGCAAATTACCTTGGTAGTCCCTCTGTGAATATAAAAAATATTTCCATATCACAAATTTTGTAGTATTAGGGTATAGTAACTCTATGTTACATTTAAACGTAAAAATTGCCTGCCTTGTGAACTGGTGAAATACTTAATTACTGCATGGATTTTATTCCCAGGGCAGCAGCTTTGTGCAGACTTCGTGCAGATATGTTAACACTGATTTTCGAAAGGTAAACTGAGGGCGGGAGAAGTATTTAAACCTTTCACGGCCACCAACAAGTCATGTCAAAGAATAGTTTGCTCGTTCATACTGTGACCCCAGTCACGACAGACTCAATGGACACGATTATTCGAAAAAAGTAAAACGATGTTCCAGACCAGGTTTCACGACTTGGCGATCACATTTTTTGCCATTTTGAAAACTACTACTCAAAAGAAATATGCATTATTTCAGTATTGCAACATCGGAGTTCATCCCGAGTAAATAACAGAATGGAAAAGGTGCGAACTATGTTCCATACGTTCGCCATGAACTCTAAATTTAATGCGAGTTTTCTCGTAAAAGCTGCAACCAAACTACGATGGGTTGACATCGATTTCAGTTGAAAACTGCACGATGGTTATTGAAAGAGGTGATTAGCAATTTTTAAAAGGTAAAATAGGTCTTGAAAAAAAAAGAGTATTTCCATGAATCGCGATGATAACAGTTCAAATGTATTTTACCAAATCACGCAATAAACACGTTGATTTTTTTCTTGAGTACTAGTAGCGTAAACTGTCAGATCGTGAACTCCACTTTGACCCACAGGTGCTTTGACCATATTATATCGGGGTGAAATTGATTTTGAAAGAATTTTAGCTTTCAATCTATAGAATGTGTCTATCGCAGAAAGTATTTACTTACAAACAAAGAGGTGCGAATTTCACAAAATTGACTAGCCGCTACGTATCGTGCAACTAGATCTATTGTTTACAAATTATAATCCACGACTGGCAGGATGCGTGTTGGTTGGTACAAAATTATAATAACAATCGGACAATAGTCCTGGTCGGAAGTGTTTCCGTGGTGGTCGCTAATTTTGAGTGCCGGTGGGGCCGACCAGCGTGGCGAGATCCCTGACTTCAACAGAAAAATGTTTTGTCAAATGAACTGTTTGTTATATTATGATATTATTATGGGTGACAAAGTGGAATCTGATTAAGGTAACCAAGAAGGATTTTAATGCAATTCTAGAATAATTTTATTTTCAATTAACAGAGGATCATAAATTGTTGTATTTTGAAACTGAAAAGTCAGGTACTGTTGATCGCAAGGTATTGCATCGCAATGCTGTCAATGTTATTGTGATCGTAGTAGTACAGTATAGGTCAATGAAAAATCATGTCAAAAATGTTGTGCAAAAACAACATCACGCACAAGTTTAGTGTGCGGGTCTCCTCTGAGCAAAATATCATGCTTTGTGGTGGGCGCAGCTTAACTGGTGCATCGCACCGTGGAGGTACAAATCCCGAGTTCATAAACATTTACACACGTCCACCAGAGAATTACGTGACCTGAGATGACCCCATTTGTTACTGACAGTTTAAAAGCTATGATTGATTCTACTGCATTTGACTTAGTTAGATCATATGCGACCGAGCACAATTTTTACAAATAATGTGATAGTCGCGGGATAGCAGCTAAGCCAAATAAATCACGATTCCATATACTTACACCGGCGAAAAAGTTTCGGAGCCACTTCACGTATTTTGTTGCCACCGCCATCTTGTAAAATCCCAGTCCTCGAAATCACGCAATGCTCTATGGGATAGTTTTAGCCTCGAACAGAAAATATATTTAGCGTGACATAAAATGTTTTTTTTTTTTTAGTAATTTTGTTTGCTAAAACATAATCTAAATATAATTATAATTAAATAATTTGAATGTTTTCTTTAATATTGAAAATGTATTTCAACAAGCAAGTTTTTATACTATATGAGTTTGCTATACTATGGCACAATCCTGTTCAGGCTCCCTGATTTTGAAATCGTGAAACCCGCCTTGAGGTGGCCTTTTCGTTCGCTGTCCCAAAACAGGCAACATGGACAAACCTATTAAACTAGCAAAGGTTGGTAATTTCAGCATGTTATAGTGACAGTGTGAACATTTTCCCATTACTGGTTAACCTTGAATGTATATTTTATTGACCGACGGCAACAATTGTTTCACTGAGCTTTGTAAAAACGGAAAGTAATGATAAGTTTGTCAATGTGTGCCCGATATTATCCCAAATTTCAAGATGGCTGCGCCCATGAAGAATACTATAACACGAGTTGAATTTTTTGAAAAATATACCTTTCATGACCTATATGCCAAATATTCGCGATTCGGTGTCACCGCCAAGGTCGACGAAGATAATATATTGTAAAATTTGATTTTACTATAATTTTTGATTGCTAAAGTACTTGAGGGCTGAATATCAAAATAAATCGATAAGTTTATTATTTAATATGTGAACTGAGATTTTGCATTTTTTAAATCTGCTAGAATTTTTTTTTTGACATGTAACATTATTATCCAGGTGACCAAAGTTCTTGGAAGAACAGGATCACAGGGTCAGTGTACGCAGGTTAGAGTGGAATTCTTGGACGACTCCAACAGGTCAATTATAAGGAATGTAAAAGGACCAGTACGTGAGGGAGATGTATTAACGCTGTTAGAGTCTGAACGTGAAGCTAGGAGGTTAAGATAACGTTCTTTGGCGTATTTCAACATAGTGAGTATTGTACATGCATTCTTAAATTTTTTTAAGCAGAGCCTACAATGCTTTTTGTTGATAGCCTTTCTAGTAGCTGCGGTTCCGTAGCTCTTTGGTGCGACCTACAATCGAATTTCGCCCTAACAATTTCATTTGGACGTCTTCTTTTTAATTTTGTTGTTGTACGTCGAACATAGAGCTACGGGATCTACCACCATTTAAAAACAGAAATCTGGCATACGTAAATTAAATCGCTTTTGCTTTCGATTACGATGGTGTGACGTACCTTTATTGTGAATTGATCGCTGGATGAATAACATTTGTGTTTGCATTTGCAATTTGTGTTTATAAATAAGCAATAATTTGTGATATTTTCAAAAAATTACCACGGAAACCAAGCAAATTACGAGAAAATGGCAGCCATTGACATCCCACACTCCCTGGCGCAGAATAAATGTAATCTCGTTTGGTGGTCATGTGATACAGTGGTGGAAGAATAAAACTCACTCTTCCCCCGTTATTCTAAATGTTCCAAGAAAGCAATCACATACAGTATTTATAATTGTATGATTTTTGTTTAATAATAGAAACTAGTTGCATAAACGCAATTTATCTACTGATTTCGGCCACGTGGTACAAAATTATAGGTCTCGCGTAATTTGCTATGAACTCTGAAATACAAAATGGCGTCTTTCATCTTGTTATTTTTCTGCGACTCGGTGTACGGTAAATAAAGTCAATTTTTTATGACCTACTTCATCATTTCACAGCGCAAATAGGTTCTGGTCATTGTTTGGAAGTAAATAAACATAGTGGGTACTTTCGAAGGTCTTAAAATGTGATTTTCGCGAAGACCAAATTTGGCATGTGGATTTTAACCGGTATTCAGTCGCACAAGGCTCCATAGCCCTATGGGCCGGCTAGAGTCAGTCACGTAAATAATGAGGTCAGCAACATAGGACTATGATTCCACAGCTAGAGTCACTATAACAATTGAATCTGCAAACTTCAAATTCAATTATTTGATTGTTTTCAGTTTTGCACATAAGCATCATGAGTAATGATACTAGGCAAAATTGGCAAACACAAAATTTTATATATTTCCTGCAATATTTTATCAGCTAATTCACAGAATAGCAGAAATAACTAACTGTATTATGGGTTATCTTCCCAGCATTTAGTATGACACAAACTCATGTTGACTTGGGGCAAGTTTAAAAATCCAAGATCACCATCAAATTGTATTTAATAATTCAATTGCATTCGGGGGAGGGGTAAAAATTAAAAACTTCATCACGAGAAAAAAAAAACTGGCAACATACAAATTGCATTTATGATTTAAGGTATGTAGAAATTCAAACTGAATTAGTTTAGGGGTTTCTACTTTTCAAACTTTAGCATGACAAATTTTCCAACACCTAGCTTAAAAAAATAAAAATAATTGAACCTGACACAATTTTTTTTTTTTTAAGAAAAAATGGGGGGAGGGTACGAAAGAGATACTTGACAAAAAATGAAATTATGAGTAATTGGTCATTGAAGCTTATTGCATTGCTCCCTATAATGTATAATTGTAGCTTCTGTTTTAAACTGTGGCTCTACATGTAGGTTATAAACGGAAAGATAAGGGACCAGATATCAGTATGCGAATCACTGCATGGTGATGCTTCTGCCTGAAGTACTCTACATTTCGCCAATCAGAATGCATGGAATATATGTGGAATATGATTTTGACAATAGTATCATAGTCAGGTAGCACTAATAGTAATTCTCGGCTTGAAAGTTGACAAATCACATTAAGCGGTTTTTGAAATGATTGGCAAATCATTGGCAATTAAAGTATTAATCCAAGTTATTATTGGTGTCTGAGATGTTAACACAGAAAAGGGACACATATTTGTTTACACTTGCGAAACAATTGGCAGGTCATTCAAATTGCCTATCCCAAAATGCACTGGTGCATATAAAGGGCAGTGGTTGTTGTGCAGCGAGTACTTGAATTTCATGTAAGCTATGTACGTCGCTATGAGTATTGTATCGAACGCGACACGACGCAGTGTAAAGACCTCCGCCCTTTAACCATTTCTGTTAATTTTGTTGCAGATACCATCACAATGTTGTATATAGAAGTACAAGAAATCCCATCTATACAAGTATAGCAGTGGTTAGGAAGTGAAGAGCTCTGCTCATTGATTCCATTTCCACATATGATTTATTTTTATCTAACACTGCAAATAAATCAGAGCAGATCAAATTAAATGTGTGTCCGAGTATTACTGTAAAGAGCTATTTTTAGAGTTACCGTACTTCCCCCAATCATAAGCCCAGGGGTCTGAACATGTAAAATCTGGAAAGTTAGGGGGTGGGCTTATACACAAAGACCACCTCAGAAAAGAAAATTTTTCGAGGGGTTTAAAATTGTAACTATTTTTCCACCCACGGACAATTTTTTGTTCAGTGTCGGTCTCTGAGAAATATTACATCTTTTTGAGAAAAAAATTCGAAAAGAATCATGGATTTCCACCCTCCATGCACTCTGAAATTAATGCGACTTTCCCGTAAAAGCAGGAACGAAAGTACCGTACCAATCATGATTATTATGTAATGAAATACATGCATATTTTAATAAGTCATCGACTCTGTAAAACACCCTGGGCCTATACTCTGGGATGCCCTCAACTCGTTAAATGTTCAAAACAGAAGGGTGGGCTTATATTGGAAGGGGCTTATGATCGGACAAGTAAGGTAATTTCATTTGCTTTCTAGTCTATGTACAATGGCATCCCAGTGAGTTGAAATACCACGTCCATCTTGAATACTATGCTATCCATACAAAATCTACTGCACTTATTTACAAAAGGATTGAAGATCACACGTTTTAAGACACTGATCGCCAGGCCAAAAGTGGCTTTAATCTCCAACACTTCACCGCTGAGAGTTCAGCACATGAGTACATACATATTCTACAAAACAAGTCCCAATGGAAGTTTGAAGAAAACTAATAACAAAATTGGAATTCTTTGAAGAAACCAAAACTTGGCTAAGGGGCTAATTATTCATAGTGTTTTAATTTTGCTTGCATGTATATCGCTGGCTGGGAAAACGTGCTAAATTAAAACCCAATGAATATGTAAAATTTAGCATAGAACATTCTAAGCATAAAACCATGAATTTAAAATCCACTGAATATGCCTGAAATGGTAAATCAGCGATTAAACACGGTGAAAATTAGTAATTTTACAGTACCCCGTATTGCCTATCAGATCCATATCATTACTAGTCTTTGACTCGATACAGCTTCTGTGCCACTATTTTGTTAAAACTGCCATGCTTGGAAGGCCTGGGAAAACACCGCCATTGGTGAGATGATAATTGAGGCACTTGGGACTAAAACAATGTACATTTGATGGCAACTCGAAATTCACAGGCTCTAAGCATCTCGATAGTGTCATTTTGCGGCGCCCTGCAAGTCGTAGAACTGTAGCTTACTGTGTTTATCAGTTTGTATTGCATGGCCAAATAATTGTATACTGGCGTGTAAGACCATCACTCAGTATTTCACTTGGTGTTCTTTGATTAAGTGGCATGGGGAACATGTAATTATAATAGATGTTCCATACTTTTGACGGTACAAGTCCCAGCTATGTCAGAATGTCTAGTAGGTATTTTGGTTTCACCTGTTGGTGAAAGGAGCAATTAATATTTGGAGGCCAACTGGGGCTAATTTCTAATGGTTTTTGATGCCATTAATAATTGCTACATTTTTTTAATTGGACTTTATTATAATACATGGTCGAAAATACAAGAATAATAAAACACAGAATGTAGTAAATTTACAAAATGGGTGTCTGATATTTAATATTTTGTAACATAACTTCAAATAGTAATATAAACTGGCTGCTAAAAATTCATCATTATTATTATACATAGTAAACCAAAGATTTTTTTTATATGAAGGATATGTAGAATATCTAGGAAAACTTAACTTATTTTTCGACTTTTCACAAATTTAAACTCTCTGCTCTAACGATGTTGTTCCCGTTGGTTTCCATTCCAATGCAGAAGGATGAACAATTCAATATAGATAAAAAAAATAGTGTGTGAATGGGATTTTTTGAAATGAATAAATATCGTTAGGAATGATTAAGAATAGGGTACAATTTCCTGGGTCATCTGTAGTTATCAAGAATATTTTATAACGAATATTTGTGGTTGACTTGATGTACATTGATCACAAATAAACTACAAACTAACTAGGTATTAGACCTGCTTAATTTGTTCATAGGAAGGTCCTTTGAATCGAATATTCTGAAGAAATTTGTCGTGAAATAGTGTACAGAATGCCTGCCTACCCAAAGTTCTTTGCGATTTGTACCAAAATTCACCACATGGTGGCGCTATAATGAAATGTTAACTTCTGCGATCGAGTTTATTTATAGGTTTATATAAAATATATTATTCATTGGTCTACGTCATATAAACATGTCTATTTCTTGTTTTTAAATTTTTTTTACCTAAACGTTTTAGCCAGTTTTATTAAGTATTGTAGACTTAGTAAGTTTAGATTGAAAATGATATTTTTGGTCAATTGCTTAATTTTTTTTCAAATATGAAGGAAGTGGATTCTTTAGTCCAGCATCATGACTTCCCCAAAAAGTACGTTTAGAAATTCATTTTATTTTTCTGTTTTACACCAACTTTTTTGTCGAGAATAACATCCTTTGATTTTTGGCGCCTTTTTCATTTCAGTTTTGTAGGTCATTTCAAGAACTTTGCAACGATAGGTCGATCAAGTATATTGAGTTCGTACATGCAGAAAAGTAGTATTTGTCGCCTCTGAAAGAATATTGTTCAAATTTCCAGGCCTTATAAGGCTATTGAGTTGCATATGTATAGTATTTACTGAGTATCCCAATAGCGAATTTATTATTGTATTATTACTATAAACACATTGCAAATTGGTTGATATGTAGGCCTATCGGTGATATAATAATAGTGTGATAACATGTACTAGGTATAATGTCCTGCTCTCCAGGGTTTCGTAGCTCATTTCTGTGTTTGTCAACTTATTTTCACCTCTTTAAATTTTATTTGGACGTTTTTTCTTATTGCTTTGTGTTTTGTGATTTTACTAGTGTAGGCACGACTACCTGTGGTTTTCTTGAAAAATGCTGACCTTTCTGAACTGATTAAGACTAAAAGAGATGCATCAGAATATGTTTTCGACTGCCCTACCTCGTGACCTTTTAAATGGTTCAGGAGCTTTCTTGTAATTTGTTTGACCTGGACTGTCATTTTCTTGATAATTATATCAGTATGTTAACGGATTTCATTAGCCA